TGGCCCCAGCTCACCCCAAGAGATCGTGAAGGTGGGAGGCCTGAGTGCTGTGCGTCTCCTAGGTTGGCTTGGCAGGAGCCGTGGGTCATGTTAGGTCACACAGTGTGCCTCAGTCTGGACTTGTTCATTCATTCATTCATTCATTTTTACACAGTCCCCAGCTCTCACATTCATTCACCAAGAGCTTGGCTCCTGGCCCTGCCACAGAACCTCTGGACGTGGTCCCTGCTTCCTGGTGGCTTGGCTTTGAGGACAGACTTTAAGCAGACAGCCTCACAGCCCACTGTCTCAGGAGCCGGTGATTGGGCCAGAGCCTCCAGGGAGCCAGGAGAGAAGGACTGTGGTCCAGGCAGAGGGACAGTGCAGCCAGAGGCCCCCAGGGAGGAAGGAATGGTGGACCCAGTGCAGGGACAAGACTGGCCTGAGACCACACAGAAAATCAGTTACCTTCCATCGTCTGCTCCTAAGCTGATGAGTACAAGGCAGAAGCAGGCTGGCTTCTTCTCTGGCCACCCAGATGTCCCAAGGGCCAGTGGCTGTAATGCATGAGTAGAGGGGCTGAAGACATAGTGGGTAGTCAGGGTCTCAGGTGTCCTCAGAATCTGGAGAATAATCCTAGGGCATTGGTGGCTGCCAGGCAGGACCAAGGGCTTAGGCGTGGGAAGTTGTTTGCGCCCTCAGCCTTTTTATTTATTTATTTATTGTGGTACTGGGGATTAAACCCAGGGCCTTTGCACTGAGCTACATCTCCAGCTCGTTTTATTTTTCTTTTGAGCAAGAGTCTCAGCAAGAGCAAGAGTTGCCAAGGCTGGGGTCTAATTTGTGATCCTCTTGCTTCAGCTTTTCAGGGTGATGGGATTACAGGTGCCAGCCACCATGTCCAGCTGTCTGGGCCGTGCCAGGCCATGCAGAGTTGTGAAGGCCCTGGGCTTAGGAGCTCCCCCAAGAGCAGAGGTCCTGCCAGCCCACAGGGCAACCGTCCTGGTGGGAGGGCATGGGTGGTGGGCGGTATCAGGTGCAGTGATGCAGCCCTGGTCCCCCTCCCCACCGCAGGTGGGCCGAGTGGCCTGCACTGGGCTGCAGGCTCTGGTCACTAACAGGCCATGCGTCTGCTCCTGGAGCAGGGGGCTGCGGTAGATGACGCGGACGCGGTAGACACCCCTCATGGAGATTGTGTTTAGGGGGTGTCTGTCTGTCTGTCTGTGTCAGGGCAGGGTGAGGTGCCCCAGGTCTCTCTGGATCTACAGTTGTTGTTGAGACTGTCACTGGTACGCTGGTGCCTGGGTGCGGGCTGGTGCAGAATCAGTCTCCAGGGTCAGGGGTGTCGTGTTGACCTGGCTTCCCCTAGTGTGGCAATGAAAATCTCTCTGTGAGCAGGGCCTCTCGGTCCTGACCATCTCGTCAGTCCCTTGTGATGCCGTATGAGCAGATAACTGTGTGGCTGGATGAAGGCCTGATGAGCACAGTCCCTGTGAGCAAGCCACGTAACAGGCACAGGGCTCTGTCCTGGCCAATACCAAGCCATGACTGGCATAGAGGTTGTCATCCTGCACAAACCTTGGACAGAGCAAACACTGAGGACAGGTCTGCGGCATAGGCTGTATCAACTGGGCATGGTAGTGCACATCTGTAAACTTAGCACTCTGGGAGGCTGAGACAGGAGGATTCCAAATTTGAGCCCAGACTGTGTAATTTAGCAAGATCTTGTCCTAAAATTAAAAAAAAAAGGATGCTTTGGAATGTAGCTTAGTGCAAGGTTTCTGGGTTTAATTCTCAGTAATGGAAAAGCAAAAAAAAAAAAAAAAAAAGTAGCTCTACTGGTTAGAGGGAAGGACTGAATCTGACAGTGACATTTGATAAGGATACATTTTCAAAATCTTAAGTTTTTTTTTTTTTTTCCAGATTGGATCCAGAGTCTTCTGATTGAGCTATATCCTTCCTCTCTCTTTAAGATGAGGTCTTATTAAATTCTTAAATTGCCCATGTTGGGCTCAAATTTGCCATTCTCCTGCCTCAGCCTCTTAAATAGCTGGAATTATAGGTGTGCAGTACCACACTCAGCTCCTGTTTTTTTTAAATTATTAACTCTTTGTAGAGACTTAGTTGCTCATGAGAATACTTTTTGCTCTGTCTTCTCCGTGCTCCAGGGCCCCGTCTTGAGGAGGTCTTGATTACTAGTTGTGGTAGAGATGGAGCAGTAATGACCTGCTCTGTGTGCCCTGGCCCTGTCTGCCAAGAGAGACCCAAGAGGTTGCATTGCAGCCAGGGGACCACAGCCATTGGTGTTCTGAAGGGTATTTCAGCAGTGGTTCTCAGCTAGGCATGGTAGTGTTTACCTACAATCCTAGCAGTCAGGAGGCTGAGGGAGGAGAATTTCTCTAGGTCTGAGGCCAGTCTGGGCTACATAGTGAGTTCAAGTCCTGCCTGTCTCAAAACACAAAACACAACAAAACAAAACACCCAAACCAAAACTAAAACAAAGCCAAAACAGTGGTTCTCAGATCAGGCCAACATCTTTACCAGTCAGAAAATACAGACAATATCTCATACTTTTCTTTCTATTTTGTTCTTGCAGGGCTAGGGAGAGAACCCAGGGCTTTTTGAGTGCCAGGCAAGTGCTCAGCCGCTAAGCCACCACCCCTTAGCCTGTAGCATGTTTCTCATGAAGTTTATTTTTAAAGAATATATTCTGAAATTGGTTTCCAATTTTATTTTTGTAATTATTTATTTACTTTTTAGACAAGTCCCTCTATGTAGTCCAGGATAGCCTTGAGCTCACTATGTGGCCCAGACTGGCTTTGAACTCACAGCGATCCTCCTGTCTCAGTCTCCTCAGTGCTGGGATCACAAGCCTGCACAAACATGCCTGGCATTTTCTTGTTTCCATGTGATCTTTCCTGGTGAAGGAGTAGATGGCAACTATTTTAATCTTTAGGTTTTATCTAACAACAGAGATTTTGCAATAGTGTGTCATTCTCTATTCTCTGTTAAAGCAACTACCGCATAGTGTCTAGACTTCCTCAACGCTCCCTCAGGTTGGGGCTTGGCTTTGTGGACACAGGGCCCAGGCTCCACCCCACCACTCTCTGTCCTCTCCCCCAGTTTGGGATGAATGTGCTTCTTCTGTCTGCCTAGTTCGGCCACTTGATGATCCTCCAGATTCTGGTCAGCTCCATTGGGGGCCAGGGTCCATTGTGAGAACGAGGTAAGGCATTGGCCCTGGCCCCTCCACTCCCCCTGTCCTGATGCACCTGACTGCACCACCTCGGCCCCTGTGTCCACCTTATGCCTTCTGAGGCCTTGTGATGCTGCCCCTTCTGCTGCTTCCCCTGTCTGAGGTGCCCCACACTTTACTCCTCTGTGCTGTTGGGACGGTGCCCAGCCCTCCACCAGGCTCCTTGCTAATGAGAGAGGAATCATCAGGATGCCCAGAGGCCTCCTGTGTCCTCCTCCCAGGCTCTTTCCTCTCCATCTGCTCAGTGTTGTGGGGTACAAGGGGCAGGGCTCCATTTACCAGCTCTGGTGGGACTGTGAGTTACTTCATCATTCTGAGCCTCAGTTTCCCTCTTTGGAAATGGGATGCTCCTACCTGCCTCAGGGAGCTGGGAGAAGAATGGGAGGTGCTGTGTGTGACTTCTGGGCTGGGCACCGGCACCTGAGGGAGCCTGGCATCTCCTGCTGCACAGTGGGGTGCATGCAGTCTGAGGCCCCAATAAGTCGCAGTGCCCGACTCCCCCACTGGTGCCTTCTTCCTCTCCCTCCTCTACTTTTTTTTTCTCTGCAGTACAGAAGCTCACTATGTAGCTCAGAGTGGCCTGGAACTCAGGGTGAGCCTCCTGTCTCAGCCTCCTGAGTACTGGGATTATAGTTGTGCACTGTCCTGTCTGGTCACATAAAGTTTTGGAAAAAATTTTAAATTTATAAAATACTTTTCTTACAGGCAATGTCACTTACCCTTCTAGCCGCCACCAAGGCAGTCAGGATTACTGTCTAATTGGACTTGGGTGGAGAGGGGAGCTCAGGGAGACAGAGGTGCCAGGTCTGGGGCACACAGCTGAGCTGCGGGTCGGAGCTGGGTTTTTCACCCTGGCCCGGCTCTCACGTGCAGTGTCGTGTGTGGGCAGTATGTCCTGGGGACGCAGTGCATGAGAAGGGGGCCCCTCCGCAGACCACAGGGCCCAGCCTGGGTTTGTTTCCAGGACTGGCTGGCCTTACTGCACTGTACTGCCCTGAGAGGCCACATGCCTGTGCTGGCGTTCATGATGGAGGAACTGGAGGACGTAGCCCTGGACCACAAGAACAAGGTGAGAGCTGCTTCAAGATCCTGGGCTTTTCCTTGGCTGGGGGTCCTAGGCCACTCTTACGCAAGGCGAGGGCCTTCTCTAGTTATGCATGCGTGGACTGTGTGCATCTGGAGGCGCTGTTCTGACATACATAGGAGAACGCAAGCTGGATGTGGTCAGATGACTGCGGGATACGAGCTGACTCAGGAGAAGCCAGGCTGGAGAAAGGAGGTGGAATACGGCGAAGGAACTGGATTTGGGAAAGACTGGACCAGACTGGGAGCATTGCTGGAGCGGGGGCAGGGCTCTGTGGTTGATCTGTAGGAGAGGCCAGAGGGCTCTGGGCCCTGATGGAGATCTCTGCCCTGACCTCGGAAACCCCAGGTGGGGAGGCAGCAGGGACCACCAAAGGCCTGCAGCAGCTCTGGGCACCCCCCAAATGGGTATTGGTGGGAAGTGGGGTCAGGGCTTTCGAGGCAATGCAGGGAGAGTGTCTGGGGCTGCTGACCCCAGAGTGATGGAGAAACAGAGCCGGGAGAAGGAGGCTACTCCTTGTGATGAGCGAGGCGACCTTATTGGCCTTCTCCTCCTGGCCAGTTGGGCAAGATAGCGTTTCACAGGGCTGCTGAGCACAGGCATCAGGAGGCTGTGGACTTCCTCGTGGGCTACGGCTGTGATCACAATGTCAAAGACAAGGTACTGCGACTGGGAGGCTCTGGGCTCCTGACCAGGGTACACAAGTCCTTGCCACCCTTGCAGCACTGGTATCTCATATATGCCTGCTTCTGACTGCAGCCGTGCTGGAGGGGCAGGTGCCCAAGGCCAGGAGTGCAAGCGATATTCCCAGCAAGTACTGTGGGCAGGCCTAGGCTATGGGTTGACAGCCCAAAGGTGCCCAGGATGCAGGTTTTCTACACAGGAAAGCCACACCATGGGCCTAGATAAGAGCTGGGGTCTGATGAATTTGTTGTGAGCCTCCTGCCTCAGGCTCCCTAGTGTTGGGATGGCAGGCGTGGCAAGGAGAGGCATATTTTGGCTCATGGTTAGTGAGGTTTCAGTCCATGGGTTGCTGGCTGCATTGTTTTTAGGCTAGTGGAGAAGTGGAACATCATGGTGGGAGGGAAGAGGCGAAGAAAGCAGCTTACTCCATGCAGCCAGGAATCAAGGAAGAGAGAGAAGAAGGGGGCAAGCTATCCTTTGTGGGACACATCCCCTCCTTCAGTGAGGTCGCACTGTCTAGGTTCTGTCACCTCCTAGCAACCCATCAGCTTATGAACTGACGGATGGGTTGATGGTCATAAACCACTCATGTCCCCTGTTTCTCCCGTGTTGGACATTGCTGCTCTGGGGACCAAGCCAACTTTTTTTTTTTTTTTTTTTTGGTGTATGTTTTTGAGACAGGCTCCCACTGTGTAGTTCAGACTAGTCTTGAGCTCACTTTGTAGCCCAAGCTGGTCTCAAACCCACAATGATCTTCCTGCCTCAACCTCCTGAGTGCTGGCATTACAGGTGTGTATTGCCATGTCCGGCTGACTGAGCCTTCAGCACATGAGCCCTTTGGGCAACATTTTAGATCCCAAGCACACCAGGATGATCTGGGGTACAAGAGGAAGGACTCATTGGGTGGGCACATGGAAAATAGGGTCTGTTTTGTTTTATTTTGAAAGTAACTCGTCTGTTTGCAGTATAAGGAAAGAGACCTGGGCTTGACCTTGCAAGAGCTTCTGCTTGTAGTTTTGGGTACAGTGCTTAGGGTCGGGTGGCATTGCTTGGTGCTCAAGATACTGCTTGTCACAGGATTGCTCTGTGAGCCTGGACATGTCCCTTCTGCTCCCTGGGCCTCAGCTTTATGTTCTGTAAAATGAGGGTGGCTCTGGTGGGGCCCCTCAGGCCCAATCCTCCTGCAGGAGGGGAACACGGTGCTTTACCTGGCTGCCGGCCGGGGCCACACAGCTGTGCTGCAAAAACTAGTAAACATTGGCCTGGAGCGGAATGCCGTGAGTCACCAGCCATTGGGGGAGCTCCCTGTCCTCAAGAATCCCCAGGCATGTGGCTCAGGCCTGTAATCCCAGTGCTTCAGAGGCTGAGGCAGGAGGATCACTGAGAGTACGAGACCAGCCTGGGCTACAAAGTGAGCTCAAGGCCAGCCTGAGCTTAGTGACATAGTGCCTGCCTGGCAAACATGAGGTCGTGAGTTTGATCCCCAGTACCAACAACAACAAAAAAGACAGGAAAACAAAACGTGGCCTGGTTTTCCCTGGCTGAGGCCCTGGAGCCAGGGAGCTGACACCTAAGGGCAAAGAGCAGCACCTAGAAGCCAGACTGAGTGGGCTGTGGGGTGGAGGATGGGTGTCTGACAGAGGGAGAATTTGGGGGGCCAGGTTGGCCAGGGAGCACAGTAGAGTGGGGCTGGAAGGACAGGAGGGTGTGGAGAGCTGGCCATCTGCCCATTTCTGCCTCCTACCTTTCCCACATGTTTCAGGAAGGATTTAGGGCCCTGCACACGGCAGCTGAAGGACTCCCCCTGGATTGTGTGCGGTGCCTGCTTGGGGCGGGGAGCCTGGTGAATGCCCTCACACAGGTAGGTAAGTTGTTTTCTAGGCTCATAAATGCTCTTGGGCTGTAGTGCTGAAGTTCTCAGAGTCTGCTTTGGTCCTGGGAACTGCCTGATTTCTGAATAGTTTTTGTTGCATTTTGTTTGAATAAGTTCTACTAAACTTAATGGTCTAAGGAAGTTTCCTTTTAACAGTTTTAGCAACAGTCATCAGGATCCAGTGCTCCAGAGCTGTCAGGTAAGGTACTTTCTGAGCTTCTTGGGCTATGTTTTTACTGTATCAGGGGACTGCAGATGAGTTCTCTCTGATTTCAGAACTCCTTGAATTTACATTTTAAGCTATGTAGGTTTTTTTTTTTTTTTTTTAAATAACACAAGTCCATTTGGTGCCAGTGTTACAGGCAGCTGAGTTAGAAATATTATAAGCAGATTAATGGTATCAACAAGAGACTTGATTTCGCAGCTGAACAAACAGAAGCAGTCTGTCTTTGCCTCTCACTGCCTTTTTCTTTTTGTGTAGTGGAAGGGGAGGGACAGAGGAAAGGGATTCCTTCTGAGACACGCTTCTCATCCCCTCATTCCCATCACACTGTACGGTTTGCTGTCCCCTGTCATTTCTTAGGCTGCATATTGCAAGCTGTATTTCTTTTTTCACTGAGGATCCAAGTCATGACCTCGCGCTTGCCAGGCAGGCACTTGTGCCACTGAGCTAACCCCCAGCCCTCAAGTTGTATTTCTGTAGCAGTGTTTTAGAAAACATTTGAAGTTTGGTGTTTGGGTATGTTATGTTGGCTAGAGAGATGTGGAATTGATCTGTGATTGTTTTTGCTATATTGTGGCTCTTTCGTCAGTCTGTTATTACCTTCAGACTTCAGGCTTACCTGCTGATGCTTGCTACGCAGGAAGCCTAGGCAGTTTTATTTGTTATGAAACCTCTCCTAGGGGAGGCAAGAGATTGGAGCTATACTACTTCATTTAGCTGGGGCCAGAAGAAGCAGTCTGTGCTGGGCCCCACAGTGTATCCACTGGAGACGGCAACCCACTAAGCCCAGGTTCTCAGAAAGCTTGCAGAAAACCACTTCGTTGGGGTTTTCGGTAACAGGAAGTGGCACTCATAAGTACTGTATGTTCTGGTGTATGGGAGTCGAAAGTGTGCTGTGAATGAATGGAGCTGTGGAAGTAGTTGATCATAGTTGGCCTTTTTCCTGAGGCACATCTGAAGGAGGAGTCGGTTGAGACAGCTCCCCTCCCTTTTCTCAAGGCTTGCCATTCATTCTTAGCCTTTCGATTGGGATAGAAAAGGGAGCAGGGAAGAATGAGATCTCTGTGTTTGCAAAGGAGCCAAGGACCATGATTAACGATACCAGCTCTTGAAAAGCTCACTTGTAGTTTCCCTTTGATCTTACAGGGTGTCATATAAAACTGGTGATCTGATACAACTCTGATTGCCTATTGCATGGTTCCTACACGTATTTAAACCCATATGCTTTTGATGCTGGTTCAGTATGTTCTTGGTACTAGAATTTGGGAGATACTGCTCTACACTAACAAAAAGAGCTTTGTTATGTTTGTGTTAAGTTATATGACCAAAGTACCTGTAATGCTGCCTACTGTTTTGTATGCATTTTCCCCCCCTCTGGGTGACCTAATTGATATGTTAATCAATGCTCCCCCTTTGTAAACAACTGTAAATCCCTGGTAACCTAACCTAATTGATATGTTAATCATTGTTGCCCTCTACAAATAACAGATGTGGTGCTAAAACAAGCTGACAAAGGATGGTTAATTGCTGCTAGACTACTCCGTCCTCTGCTAAGGGAAACATTTCCTTAGCAGATTTCCTGATCCATGCCCATAACCCCTTACTTTGTAAACTGTGATATCTACAAAAGGTTGGAAAGTTTTGCTGGGAGCACACAGCTTTTGCAAACTCCAACTGCACTGTGTTGCTGGGCCCAGGATAAAATAAATCAGTGCTGCTTTTTAAAAACATGTTTGGCCCAATTTTTGGACTCGAGGTTGGGGACTGGGTGGGGAGGTTCATTTGTGAATTACAAGAATACGTATAACTGAAGGTAAAAGGATTTATAAAGTTAAAGTAAATTAAAGGATCATCAGACTAGACAAAATCTAAATCAAAAGACCCTCCAACCCATCTAAATACCCCAAATACTTTTTTATCCCTTTGCAACTATATTTTTCTGGCAAAATCCAGTTCATTTAGTAATTACCATTTTCTCAGCATGTTTTTTTTTTCCTTTTTACAAATGTGTCTTATGTTCATAATCAGACCCCAAATATTTAAATGTGAGCACAAGCCATGCAGTCATACTGACACCAGAAAAACTCTGGCACCAGAAAAACTGTAATAGCATTTTTTTCAAGAAGTCTGGGAGGAAGAAAAGACAACAATGCCAGCCATTCATTGGGATCTGCCACTGGTGTCTGCCTGTGAGAGCGGTGGGCTCCTGATGACTTGTGGGATTTGACATGTTGTAAATACTCAATGCAAAGATCTTGTTTGCCCTGTGTCTCCAGGTCTTCTTGGTTAGTTTCTGCTGTTGTTTGCCTCCAGCACATCTGCATGATTAATTTGAGATGGTCACGCCAGGAAAATTAGATCTAAGCGGTGCCTCTAAGGACCATAATTTTCCCTTTTCCATCGGGAAACCTATTTGACAAGTGGTTCTATCCTGATGAAAATGTCACAAAGTCCCTTTGCTCCCTGAGAGTCTAGTGAGTTGATGAATGAATGCCATCTCGATCTGACTTAGTATTGTTTTTCCTCCTAACAGAACCCTTGAGTGGTGGTTGCTGAGTTTTTCTCCTCCTTCCAAGGAGGTTGACATCTTTACAGTTTCACTGGGCTAACAGATTTGGGCATAAAAACAGAATGGGAAAATATTACCTAACTTTTCTACTAACAGATCTTAGATGTGAGAGTAAAGGAGAGATCCTGGGCTTGAAAGTGGCTCTCTAGGTAGTTTGTATCCTCTTGAATGAAATGATTTGGAAAGTTTGTTGTTTGTGGTTATCTGACCTGAGATAGGAGAAAAATTATAATTCACTTTCCATTCTTAGAGGCCTAACACCCTTGTTTATGGATGTATGTGCTGATTCCTATTTCTAAGCACAATGCCTGGTACATAATATTTGTTCAGTAAAGACTTGTATGAGTGAATGCATCAAAGACTTTGAACGGTTGCTATGCAATTTTTTTGGCCTTTTTGAGACAGGGTTTTACTATATAGTTGTCTGGCCTTGAACTCACAGCAATCCTCCTGCCTCAGCCTCTTGAGTGCTGGGATTATAGACATGTACCACCTTGCCTGGCTGAGCAGTTGTCATGAAATTTGCTTGCTAAGTGCTATAGTTGTTACCAAAGCAAAGCAAAAAAGTAAAACACCTCAAAAAATTATGTCAACAAAGAAAAAAGAAGGGGTAGGTTTCCTTGTATTTAATAGTAGATATTCTTTTCCACAAACTGGGTAGTTTATTCTGGATTCTATAGGAAATGAAAAAGTGCTTAGGTTTCTACTCTCTGTTGATTGATCTTAAAGGTTGCTGCCTTTCTTCTGACTGAAGAACCTCCTCCCCTTCTGCCTTTCACACTGCAGTAAGCCTCGGTTCTGATTTACTGTGCTGGTATATTTCTTCTCAGAATAAAGATTAGATTCTTGGAAATCTACTCATTTGACAACTGTCTGAAATAACTTTGCCTAAAGGACAGTAAATGCCATAATTTTCTAGTTAATTGTGGAGCAGTACCAAAGAGAGTCACTTTAAAAACACATGATTACAGATAGAAATCTGAAAAGGAAGCAAAAAAGATTGTAAATATTTATCTCCTTTCTGTGGCTTACCACTCCCTTTTCTGGACACTTTGGCTGCTTTTCTCTGTAGATTTTGGGCCCTTTTGACTTACCTCTTCTGTTTTTACCTGATAGAGAGTTCTTACTAGGAAAGGCTGATTTTAGAGTTGCTTGAGTGCCTACTGTGTGGGGTGCACTTGTTTAACACTGGCGATGATAGCACGGTGAACAAAACAGACCAAACCTCCCTGCTCTCCTGCATGTCGTATTGGAACCCTTGCAAGTTTTGTCCTTTTTTTTTTTTTTTTTTTTTTTTTGTCTTTTTCATTCTTACCGGTACCGGGGATCGAACTCAGGACCTTGTGCTTGCAAGGCAGGTGCTTATGCCGCTGAGCTAAATCCTCAGCCCCACAATTTTTGTCCTGATAAGGTCAGGGAACAGGGAATAGAAATGATTAGTTAAATTAAGCCCCTCGGCGATGATAAGTTTACATGACTACTTGCCAAAAGTAAGGCATAACAGAGGAATACAATAAAATTATAACCAGTCCCCATTCTGCTCTCAGCCTTACTCCCCAAAACTAACTATTCTATGTCTATGAATGTTTGTCTATATTTATCTGTGTGATTTCCCCCAATTTTTCTATGTTAATATACATATAAAAGCTTTTTATACCTTTTTCTTTCAAAGAAAATGGTATATTATATATTCCACTCAATTATTCTCCTTTTTTCCCATCCTGAAATTGATGCCTTAATATGACAAAACAAATACTGGTACATGATTCTTGATACCATGTACCTGGTATATTAAAGTATGGGAGGGACAGTGGTGAAAATGATTTAAACCTTACTCTGATGGTGAGATGTTAGGTTATTTCCATTCTTCCCAAATTAATAATGCCATCATGTCTGTCTTTCCATACCAGTTCAGCTTGGTTTCTGGTACTGCTTTTCCCTCTGGGTAGCTTTCCCCATGAGTACATGTATCCCTGTTTCATTCTCTCCAGGAATAGCTGGAACCTGCTGGCTGATTTAATCCTAAGATACATTTACTTATTCAGCAGATATTTATTTGGCAAACTATATGCCAGGAACAATACTGGACACTTGGTACCCGTGACCCACCAGTGTGGGTGAAGCCCTTGCAGAGTTTATGTTCCATTTGGGGAAGATGGACAGTGTACAGCAGGGCAATAAGTAAATTATTTAGTATATGAGAACATGATCAGTGATACAAGAAGGGCGAGTGGAGGTACACAGTGTGGTTGGATGTGTTTTGAAAGTATGCTTCGAAGGATTGCCTGATGGGTTAGACAAAGAGTGACGAAGAGAGAACAGGCAAGAATGAGAGATCCTTGGATTTGGTTTGGTTTTTAACCTGAACAATGGAAATTTGGGGTTTTGTTTTTATTTCAGACTTAAA